CTACAAGCTCAGATTATGTGCTCATCTAACTTTAGACATCCTTGTACTTTTGAATAAAACAACATGCATTCTCACGGCTAACTTCCCACCTCTGTGCCTTGGGGAAGGAGGTCTTCTAAAATTTGCATTACAAGTGATTCTCAAGGGAGAGCAAGGCAGGACATCAGGGAAAAATGTCAGGCTGCAATGACAGCCTTATTATTGTTAAAGGCTTCTCTGGAGGTGGGTTGTCCTGGGGCAGTAGCCTTTAAAAGATAGAAAGCATCCCACCACACCCCACCCCACCCCCAGGCTTACTGCCAAATCCCTGAAGTGCAGATCTGAGGGGAATGAAAACAAAAACATTCTCAAGAATAAATCACATGGGGGAAGGTATGGCACCAAGGCTAGAGGTGAAAGTACTCAAATGTCTCCAAATGTGTGTTCTGTGCAAATAACAGATGGGTTCCCAGTGGGAAATGTATCAGAAAGGGGCGTGGACAAGAGGAACTTCTGGCAGGCTTGGATCCTAGGAGGGCAATTTTGTAGCTATACTAAGAATAGTTGTACAGAAAGATCTGCCAAATATTGGCAGAAAAAAAAGCCATCTTTCCCTATCCCAGAGATCTAGGCTGGGTAGATAAACCTGGACAAGATGCCGTAAATTTCAAACCTTGAGACACAAAGACAATGAAAGCAGTAATTCTGAGGTCCTCGAGTTTTCCCAAAGTGCCTCATAAGAGATAAAGAGAAAATACTGCAGCAGACTACTGGGAGCCTCAAAGATCTGGAAAGACACAGGTCAAAGGCCCAAAGATTAAGATGCTGCCAAGATTCCTGGTTACTGAAACAACCAGCAATCCCAGGGACTTACAGGAATGTCTGCTTGCTTCTAAGCTATATGTATGATAATTTGTGGCCCATGAGAATGGGGAGGGGACTGCGTTGATTTTGAACTAGTTCCTAACCTTTGCATCTGAAACAGACATGCCCACTGTCACTCCTTTGATCCTTCTGCTCCTACACCCCTTGTCAGCCCTCTTCACTTTCATCTCTCCTTCAAGTTGTAATCTCAAGAGCTGTGGCTGAAATCCCAGAAGGTCTGGGGTCCAGCCCTCTTGAGCCCCACCTGAGTTGTATCCTCTTCTGAGATAAGATTCTGACTCTCCTCTGGCCTCATCAAAGGCCTGTGAAACCAATTCCAGGTGTTTCTGATAAGAAAAGTTAATGCGTGCCAGCCCTCCACTAGACTCTCTGGTGAGCTGTCCTCACTAACTATTAATAGCAAGGAGGATTTTTCCCCCTCCAGGCTCCACACATGCTCCAAAGGCTAGAAGGGTACGAAAGAAAATCCCACAGTGTTGTGTCCATTATTCCATCTAAGTAGGAAAACTGGGATGGACACAAGTCTGCAGCATTCTCAATGGGCTTCTGGTGGGACAATTTGATATCCATTGTCAGAAACGGAAATGGCAACCAGACCCACTCCTGCTGGAGGTTTTTCAGTCTTGCCTGAGAGGCAATTATGAACAAAGAACTTATTGCTTGAAAACACATTCCTTTTTTTTTTTTTACTGTTATTGGGGATTGAAGCTAGATCCTCATTCAGGCAGGTCATACCCTCTCCCAATCTACATCCCCCAGTGGTTTAACCTACATGCTTGATGGGCGGCATGAATAAACCTGTATTGCTCATAGTGTATCATGAGATCTTTTTGGAAAGATCTCATGTGTGCAATAAAAACAGTTTGTTTCTGCAGTTACTGAAATTGTAACAATTTTCAGAGTCCTAAGAACCTGAAATTGTATTTCAGGTGCCAGGCATGGATTATTGCATACTTCCTGTGGCTGCATCTTTTTTTTTTTGGCACTGAGCGTATATGGTCCCTCGTGTTGCTTATATTTTGTTGCTCATTTATCTCTTCTACTAACTTTTAAGTCAGTGCTTGTTATGGTTTAAACATCATCTGTCCTCGGGAAAAGCTATGCTGAGGGTAGATCTCCAAATTTAATGATATTGGTAGGAGGTGAGGCATTTAATAGGAAGATTTAGCTGAGATTAGCATTTAATCAGGCTCATAGGGTCAGAGCCTTCATGAATGGGTTAGTTACTGTAAGAGCTGGTTTCTCTCGAG